AGGCGGCAGCGGAGGAGGAGGAGCGGTGTTGGCTGGAGGTGGAGGGCGCCGACCCGGGCGGGCCTGGAGACAGGTTGTCGGTACAGTCCCGCTTTTACTTCACACACGTTTTCCAAAGCTGCTGCGAAGTTGGAGCGGTTTCGTGGCCTGGTACTTCCCCCTCGGTGGCTTGTTGGTGAAAGTAGTTAAAGAGCAGCTTAGGGGCTTTTTGAGGGGTGTTCCCGGCTGTGCCGGGATTGGTGGGAGCGTGCCGAGGTGTGTTGCTTTTTGTCTGTTTTGTCACCTACTGTTGAGCCTTTTCATGTTCCCATCTCAGGAGTCTCATCTGGGAGGGGGGGAAAAAAAAACCCAGAACCCCCCAAACTATTTGTGAATGGAGCTCTTGTCGTTGTAAGGCTTCATCCCTCCCAAAATACACTCAGATAGGAAAAAGGCACAAAGAAGCAGTGTTCTGTAAATGCTTGAGTTTATCCTATAAATACTGAGGAGAGGGGGATCGTGAGCTATTTTCGCCAGCAACTGGCTGGCAAAGCAGCTGTAAATACCCTCAAGTATACATATCCTTTATTTCTAGGTGGAAAGCTACATTGGTCACGTCCGTAACTTAACAGAGGAACGAGATGCTGTCACTACTGAACGTGAAAATGAACAGCTCAGACTTGAGCTGGCACAGCTGCAGCTTCAACAGGGTAATCCTTTCCCTCTTCTCTAAAACACAGTCCAAGCAGGTGTGTTAACAAGTAGCGATGTGCAGGTTTTTCTTTGCAAGAAGCTGCAGAGTTTACTTTTATACTTCTGAACACAGGTTCTTAATCTCTTTTGCCCTTCAAGGATTAACAACGCCAAAGCAAAGCTTTTTGCGAACAGTTCCACCTTCTCCGGGATAAACGTAGACCCGGAGGTAGCAGGGAGCTGACGTCGTTATGGACTGATGGGTGCTCTAGAGCAGCATTTCTCAATGAATTCTCCTAGACGAAGGTGCATAGTATGTTGGTTTGGAGGTAGTCAGGAGTATTTATGGAATATTAAAATGGATCTGTAAGTGGCTTAGGCATTCTTGTCTGCTTTACTGCCTTTATTCAGTGAACTGGGCAATTTCTCACTTGGTATGGCTGCAGAGTCAAATGAGCGTCCTTGAGAGGCATGCTGTTTGAGGAACAGGATCGACTGTGCTGTGTGTCATTTGCTGTCAGCTTTGGCTTAGACAAAGTCTATGTTTTTTAGAAAACAACTTTGAAAGCCATTGATCATCTGTGACAGTGATTAAAAAAAAAATTGGAAACTTGCAATGTATGCTTATTTTAGTATAGTCCTTTTGCTTAAAACAAATTATTTAATTTGTATTTCTCTTTCAACAAATAATTTGCTTACCTCTAAGATCCTGGATTCATGTCCAGTAAGGCAACTTTATTTTGCCATTTTTAGTGCTCGTTTTTCTTTATTCTTCCTACTCTTCTGCTCTGCTTTGAGTACTGCTCATAGTACACTGTCACTGTTAACGCTTCTTTTTTTGGTGTGTGTTATCCTAGAGCTGTGATAAAACTGGAGACAATAAGCATACCTTGGACAGCATCTTTGTTAAGTGCAGTTTATTTAGTGCAGAAAAGGTGGGACTGTTTGGAAACCGATTGCATCTTTGAGTCTCTGTCCAGTTCTGGTCAGCGTGCAGATTTCAGGGAGCAGGTCTGACGGAGTGACTTTTAAAAGATGGGTGTGCTTAAGCACTATCTGAAAATCTGTTTCTTCTGTGGCATCTCTGGGCAGTCAAAGCCATTATTCAATGTTGAAAGTGCTGATCCACGAGGGTTTTCAGTGAGTAACAACCCTTCACTAGCATTGCTGCAGTAGAGAATTTTATTCCTGCGTTTTTGGGTCTTCTCTCATTTCCCCCACGAGGTGGCAGACGAATGACAAAAATGTAATGAAAGCTGGGTTTGCGTTTATTTCCCCATAGTGGCTCTGCTCCCTTCAGTTTTTTAAGGTTTTTGATGGCTGTTGAGCAATGATTAACACTCAGATCGAAACCAGGATCCATGTTCTTTACATCAGTGGGTTGCTAATTGCAAGCCTGAGGTTAGTAGCCTGCCATTCCTCAGGGGTTTCTGTGGCTCCGCAGTGCTTTGGTGCTGTATGGAGTTACAGGGCAGCTTTTGGAGGAATTTGTTTTTGGGATATTGCTGTCAGACTTTTAAGACTTGTTGCTACGTTATCTGTGGTGGTGGCTGCTGTCCTGTGATAAGTCCTGATGGCTTAGCAGTGTGGGCAGCGGTATGCCTACGTGGATAAAGCCACATAAAGGGCAATGCTGTGCAGTTATCGCCAACGGTTGTTGTTTGAACCGATGCCCTGAAAGGCAGCTTTGGTACAGATGCTTGTGTGGTGTGTGTTGTGCCCTGCCCTTCCCCTGGTCTGTCCTCTGCATTGAGGGATGCCGGCCCTGATGTGTTTTGGGACGTTTGTAGATAACTTCCTTGAGGGACTGACCTTTTGCTTTGGAAGTCAGCTGCTGGTTATGGAAGTGCTTTGTGAGTACGTCACTGCTGGCATGCAGTCAGTGTTGGTTGTGTAGGGCAACAGCCTGGGTCCTGGCTGGGCTATCTTGCCTGTACAAGCCGTTCTTCCCCAGAAGAGCTAGGCGGTGAGGCTGGCAGAAGGACTAGAGCTCCCTTCTTCCAGGAATGAAGACTTGTCTTCTTCCTGGCCCACGTACGGCTTCCCTGAGGGAAACGTAAGAGTGCTGGTGGGGCAGTTCCTGAGGGCCTCAAAACATATTTTTGTATCTGGTGTCTGAAGCAGCTTTCATACTGGAGAGATTTGAGATACCTTTGAAGCAAAGATGTCCTGGATCCTGGAACCACAGCAATTTTTCCTGGCTTCTTGGACGTTCATGTCCGTGTATCAGCATCAGCCTTTCCCTCTGAAGGCACTGACTGACCCTGAAGTGGATACTCAAGCTTTCCTTCCTCACGTGATTGCCCCAGAGTGCCTGGCTGTCCATGGCCCTGGACAGGCTATGACCCAGCTCCTCGTAGTTTGTGGGGGCCGTTTCGTGATCTCTGAACATCGGTTCCTATGCCTGCTATGTTTTTTCTCCTTTCTTCCCTTCTTTTCCTCCCTACCTGTCCTTCGCCCTCCACAAAAAACCACTGGCCACCTCTGGCACAGAGCTGCTGTGTGAGCTGATGGATGTGCACAGTCCCTCTGTCACCCAGAAATAAAACTGGTTCCTAGTCTGCTCCGTAAAGCAGTTGGTGACTTTAATTACTGTCCTTTCTCATAGACTTCTGTGAGGCTTTTGCCTCGCTCTGCTCCGTGCCTCTAATGTACCACTGTTGCCCGTCGCATGACAGCAGGGTTAATGCTGCATCACTTTATCTGTTCCCTGAGCCTCTGCTTTTCATCAGAGTTTGCAAACCAACACAGAGATCCTTCCTGAGTCCTGGAGGGTGTAGGGCAGGTTGAATGTCACAAACTAGAAGCTGTTTGTCCTCTGGGTCTTACTCTGCCTCTTGTTTTTGTAGGGCAGCTGGTTCTTTTTAACAGGGACAAGGTGATGCTGCAGATCAGGTTTAAAAAAGAAGGAGAAGGGGTCTTGCGAAAAGGAAGATGCCAGTCTACTGGGATTGCAGAGAAAAAATGTGGGTAAGGCAAATCCAAAGGATCTTGTCAGGGAGTTTTGGGAGGCTTAACATGATAAGAGTTCAGGTGGGAAAGGGCAGTTGACGACGGAGGCTGGTTCAGGCTGGTGGTACAGTCAAAGGGCAGGCCTGACCTGTGAGTGTTGGGGTGCGGGTGGACAGGATCTGTCTCGATCTTGCTTGTAGAGAAGGGTAGTGACAGGTGGGAATCAGAGCTTTGGAGAGGTACAGATTGGGAAGCGAATGCATTCTGAAAAAAGGTGTGAAGACTAGGCAAATGCAAGAAAATCGCTTGGTCCAGGGCTCGGTGCTGAGTGGGCTTGCTATTCCAAAACCAGCCAAATGGATCAGAAGCTCTGCTTCATCCTAAGATTGTTATGAGCGATTTTATCTGCTGTTTTTGATAATAAAAAGCAAGTTTCAGTCTATACTTTTTGTGTGGAACAGGCCCAGAGAGTTACTGCAGCTCAGCTGAAGGATGGTAACCCACTCCGATACAGTAAACCAATTGTCTGCAATCACATGAACGTATCCTGGGCTTTTAGCTTATAATAAGGGTGAATTTAAAGGATTCATGCTCTGGTGTAGCTTGTGCTATCTGCAGAGATCAGCCGCTACTGGTCTTACATTGAGCTATTGATCGTAGCTGTACTTCATTTGGTACCTCTGCCCACGGTGACGTTTTTCCTTTCCTCGAGGCAGTTCATAATCCATTTCCAATGGTTCTCGTCCAATATGCCTCAGTGTTTTTGGAGGGCAGATCGATTACTTGTGTGCTGCATTACCAGAAGCTTTTATAAAACCAAATGTAGCAGTAGTAAAATACAATGCTGTTAGGGGCTTACCTCAATTTGTGTAAAAAAAAAAAAACCAAAACAGTCTTAGCCCAAGCTAGCAGCTGTACTGCTAAAATGTATCCAGAACAGATGACACAATGCAGCTTCCCATCCTGGGTACCATGGTACCTGTGAACTCCTCCTTTCTGAATGTAAGGGAGAGAAACTTCTGGCATGATGCCTTTGCAAATCTGAAATTTGCTTCTGAAGAAGTGGTGGTGCAGTTGGTGCTTGCTAATGGGAATATGTCAGTGCATAGGTATGACGTCACTCATGCAGGGTTGTTGCTTTTCTCAGATAGGTCACACTGGATATGGTAGGGAAGGTGTTGCTGAGATGCTCTTAAGAAATTAGTGGGTTTTTTTACAAGCAGGTAATCTGTGCTGTGTACTGCAGACTCCTCTTATCCTCCAAAACCTTTTTCTCTCTTCAGCCTGGGGAAAATGTTTAGGTCCTGTTACCCAAATTCTATTTCTCATTCCTCACCAGCAAAGATGCAAATGCTTTAGCAATATAGGAGCAGTTGTATGAATTCAGACCGTTTGTCCCTTTAGTCTGTTGTCTTGTTTCTGGCCATAACCAGAGCAGCTTCCAGAGGAAGGTGCAAGAACCCTATATTATATAGGATTAGGCAAAACTGTAGGAAGAGACTGCAAGGCAGGTTAGAGGCAAGGTATTTTTCTCAGTTTAGTATGAGCTGTGGGCTCTTCTTAATGCATAAGGAGCATGTGGCTAGCTATTCTTAAACTGCAAAATGAAACATTTTGCTCTGCTTCACGCTGAAAAGCTGCAAGTCAGCCGTGTTTGACCTCTTCATTGAACGAGCTGCAATTTATAATCAAAGGTGAAGGCAAACAGGAAACCGCAGGGTGTTTTCCATCCATAGGGCTGGACAGAGCTGGCTGCAGAATGCAGAGTGGAAACATGCGATTGATTTGAGCCTTAGGCTTAGGAGGTGATTGCACCGAGTCCCCTGTTAAATCCAGGGTATGGAAGCATGGAGCAAACTTATTCAGAGCTGCATGTGTATCCTCTGTAAGATTATGAGGAATATTTGCTCTGCCTAACTTCAGATATTTAACGTTAGCTCCCTAAGCAGTGAAAGAGTATGACTATCCCTCATTCCTCCATACAAAACCCACAACTGCCCTTGATTCCCGTTTTATGGCACTTGAAAACCTTTATAATCCAGTCTGGCTAGAAATTGGGAGCAGGGTTTGTTGTTTTCCTTTTTTATCTGAATTAAATGACTGGAGCAAAAGTAATAAGTCGTGAGACCAACTGATTGGAAGTAAGCAGTCTTGACCTAGGGAGATTTTTGAAAGCCCTTTCTTTGCTTAACAAGCTATCGGATCCAATGCAGGAGTTATTGCCATGATCGTAAGGGAGACAGAGTGGTCCTCGTATTCTTCCAGCAGTTAAATTCCTAACCATGCAAACAAGGGGCTTTTTTAAATAACATATATCTTATAAGTGATCCTGAGCACGGTGCAAAATAGAATTCAGACCGAACTAGAAACATCAGGAATTGTTTTTCTGTTTGGTTCTGAGAAACAACATACCTGGAGGAGTGTAAACAGGGTTGAATACTGCTTTTGACTGGGGCGGCAGAGCCAATGGTGGCCACAAACACAATAGTGCCTAGCCATAAGCAAATACCAGTTTCTCTTGCACGTGCTGTCATGGTTTATTTGCCTTGGAGGCCGTTGAGTCTTTAAGTTTTGCTCACTACAGTCTTCCTAGCAGTAATTTTGGGATACGTGGTGAAGGGAAGAATTGGCAATTTAAGTCTAAAGGATTTCCTCCTTTTTCGGAGGAATGGGTCAGAAACACTGTTAAGGGAGCAATTTCTCAGGTCATATTTTAAGTACTTGGAGTACTTTAAGTACTTGTGCCCATGGGAGTGCTGTTTCTCTAATAGCACTTCAGGCACTTCCTGGTTTCTCACTGTGCGTCTCTACCACATCACATGGGATACAGCACCCTGATCTCCACCACTGACTGCTAACAGTGCATGAGGCATGCTGTACGTCACTGCTGTGCACAGAAAGAAAAGATAATCAGACCACACCTCCTTACCAAAATAGTGGTGTTCTACTTACGAATGATGCAGTATTTTGTGCCTCTTTCCAAAGAAAATGATGTTTGTGTAATTGCTTGTCCACCTGTTTGATTTCTTCTCAATACCTTTTAAATCTGTTGTTTAGTTTTCCCGCTATGTTAAGGGGTAAGAGGGTTGAGGATAACTAGGTTGGTGAAATTTAGCTGTTGGGTAGAGGAAAATGGTTGTTATAATTCTGCCACTCAAAGAAAGGCTGGAGGAGTCGAACTAGATGCAGCACGTGTTATCGCTTGCCTGATGGGCAGGCTAGGAAGGTAGGCAAGGTAGTGGATGTGAGGGGAGACGACAAGGAACAGGGCTGACATCGTGGGTGAGAACCGAGGATAGAAGGAAGCAAGGGGGTGGGAAGCAGGGGAAGAGGTTCAATGTTTAATGCGCTCTTCATGGCCTCTAAGACAAACTGGGGCTGTTGTAGGGGGGAGTGTTAAGAGAACCAGGGATGCAGATCTGCAAGCAGTCGGGCTTGCTTTGTTTGTTTGCGCATAGAAAACTTTGTCTTGCAGAAGCCCAGCTGAAGGAGGTCGAGGAGATGCTGGAACAGGAAGGCTTGTCCAAAATAGCTCACAGTAATGCCAGTGAACAGATTGCTTATTTACTGGTAGAGAGAACAACACTGCTGGAGAAACTGGAGACTGCAGATCAGAAGCTGAATTCTCACAGCGGCGTAGACAGGCTGTGTGCAGCACAGCTTCAGGTACCTGCTTTTTTAGCTGCCGAGACTGACTGTGAAGGTGCACTGGGGAGAAGGATGTCTTTGAGATCTTTTTAGTTAAAAATATTTCTCCTATCTGTGAGAATGTTGTAGATTCCTAATGTTGACGTCAATTTCTGTATTAGTTTGTACCCTTGCTTTGCTCCTGTATTTTGCAGAGGGATAATTAAGGGGATTGTTTTTGACAGAGAGGACGTTGAAGAGTTTGTAATATAATCTGGTTCTGAAGATCTTCACTGGGTAATATTCACTTTATACTAATCCAGCTGATCATGACAATCCAGTATTTAATACTGGATGTAAGTTCCCTTGAAAATCATAAACTTAAGGAAAATCCTCCTTAGCCTTTAAGCTGAGAATAAAAATCTTTACTTGTCATCTAGCTGCTGAACTAGAGAAATGAAGTTTTAAGCAATTCTCTGATTAGAAACTGAGTTCAGTGACTACATCTTGCAGCATGATTTAATTAGCTGGCATGTTACAGAAGGCCATCCATGTCCTGAGACTTTTTCCTGTCTGAAGTTGAGATGAAGAAAAGTAACAAATGGTAGAGGGGCAGTAGCTGCTGTGCATCAGAGAGGCAATTTGTGACCGATCTCCTCAATTAGGGTGACCTCCCTCCCAGCAAAGACATTGACTTCCAGCTCCTACTGACTATAGCCATCTCTGGGAACTAAAGCCTGGGAGCCGCTGGCTCTGGTAGGTGTTTCTCCCGCAGTGCTGTGCTTGCTGGCCTTGTTGCGCATTACTCAGTCTGCCCTTGAGCCGTGGTTGCCTCATTCCTAACTTAGTTCTGACAGCAATGGCTATCAGATTGCGTAGGAGCTTAAACCCTGCAAAAAGCAGCCAGCCAGACTTCATAGGAAAGCCTTGCTGGGAATAGAGGGGACTGGCAGGGTTTGGTGACAGTCAGGTCAAAGTTGGCTGGAAGCAAATGGCTGGGACACAAGGAGGTGGAAGACTTGTGCTACAGACCTTTTCATTTCTGTCTTGTTTTTCCTCATTACCTTGAACTTTCTATAGTTTAAAAAGTTAAGTTTTTATTTTTTCATTCTGACAAAACTGGTTGGAGGTGAAAAGCTTCTTGGCCTTCTCTGGGCAAGCTCACTAAAAGAGGAAGGCCCTGCAGCCATCTCAAAGCTCAGGTTGATTTGGGCCGTCTTGCAGCGTCTGACCAGAAGCCAAAGGCAGAGTTTCAGAGAACAGCGTTAAGGGGAGGGCAAATATTTAGGGACAGTTTAATGCAATTTTTCCTCTTGCTTGTACTGGTGTGCAGCGCCTGAACCAGAGGTGTTATCTTTATATCTAGTAGTCCTTGCCAAATTGTTTTTCTTCTGTGATTTATTTGGTTGCTTTTTGAACCCATGCAGGTTTTTTGCATCCTCAACATCTTTTAGCAGGGAGTTTCACTCTGCAGCTACTGCCACCTGAAGTGCCTTTGTTTCAACCTGCCATCTCTTGGCTTCGTTTGAGGCTATCCATTTATTGTGTTAAGGGATAGTGAACAATTGCCTTTTGTCTGCCTTCTCTGTGCCACTCCAGATTTTACTGACCTCAAGAGCGTCCCTTTCAGACCGGAGAGTCCCTGTCTGCCTACCTTTTGTAGTGTGTGGTGTCATTCATGATTCATCCAGAGTACAGTAACATCTTCAGACATGAGGGATTTTCTTGGGAATTTGGGATCTCTCTGACTGAAACTCACTCTTTAAATAGAAGGCATGATAACAACCTCTTGCTAGTCAAGATATGTTAAAACTGAAAATCCTATACACAGATATTCAGGGATAGAGAGCAGCATGCTTTTTCGTGGTGTTGATTTATGAAAATCTCTTTCTGTGCAAGGACGAGTTTGATCACATTCATCAGACGTTAGAAGATGAACTCCAGCAACAATGTGAATCCATGCGGTGTACTAAAGAGACAATGAATAAGGTAATACATTTATACATGTTCTTGCCTATGATCTCGCACATAGCTTGATTTCAAACCGTGAGTGTATTCTCGAGCAGGCTGTAAGGATTTCTTGTTTGTTTTTAGCTGATGGGATGCAAGTCAGCTCTGAACTGCAGGCTGCGCAACCAAGTCAGCCTGGTGCTATGCATGAGTTAATTATTTCTGCTGAGAGCCAGGGTTAGGGCTGGGGTCAGGACTGGCTAACTTTGGGTCAGGACTGGCTTGTAGGCACTCACCTGCTTTTAATTATAGCCACAAAGAAATGTCATTGGAGGTAGAGTTGGGTAGAAGTCATGGGGGGTGAGAAATAGCTTTTTTACATAAGCTGAAATGACTTTTCTGCAGAATCTCAGGTTAGTGGGTGAAGTGTCTGGCTGCAGCACTCTAGGAGCAAGTGCAGGCTGGAAGAAGAGGAGGTTAGCGTTACCAAGCAGGCTTGGAGCTAGCTCTCACAAGAGCCATGAGACCACAAACAAATGCAGACTTGACTTATCCTTAGAGTGAACTGTCACAAGGTGTGGTGGAGCCTTCAGCTTGGGAAACCACACGTATTTTTTTCTGTCTGGACCAGGTACTGGCTGTAATCATCCCTTCTGGCCTTCAGGTGTATTTGAAAACACACTTTAATTAACAGCATTGTCTCAGGGAGGGAAAAACAGAGGAACAACTGTGTCATGTTGTTCAACACCTGCGAGGAGTGTGCTTCGACATGTGTCACTGGGGAACAGGGTTACCTGCTGCGTGTCTGTCTTCTGCCTCAGCAGTGGCTTGTTGCTCACCTGCTCTCTGTGCTTGTATTACCAGCCCCTTCCAGCATGTCGGGGTAGTACAGAGGGTCTGACCGGATCCCATCACTGGAAGGGTTGTCTCATTTCCGTTGGAGCATTAGCACTTGTGTTTCAGTCCTGCAGGGCAGAGCTGGAGAGGGAACAAGCATTGCGTGCAAGAGTGGAACGAGATCTGGATGAGGCCACACAGAGGCTGCAGATGGCCCACGAAGAGATCCAAAGGCTGACAGACGAGCTGGATACACAAAGAAAGGAGCAGAGCGAAAAAGGTAAGAGCTTCTCTTGCGGCTGCACGCTGCTCTGAATTACTAGACTGTATTTAGCCAGGCTTTCAGACAAGCTGTTTGCCTGTGCCTCAGGTGAGAATTGCAGGTACCCTCCACCTCAAAGCCCACCTCTGTTCAGCATAAGCCTTGCACTGCCCACCCGGGGAAGTCAGAGAAAAGCTTTCCTGAGTTCTCTCTGCTTGTAATGTGGAAAAATCAGTGGCAGATGTTAGTCTAGCGCCTAGGCGATCTGAAATGCAGTCACTAACCAGAGTCAGGAACCAATGGACAATGAATCTTGAATGGGGGAAGCCAAGACATCGGGTTATCTGATCTGTGAGTAGAGTAGCAGCGTCTTGATGGACTTCCTCTTCCCGACTTGTACAAAGGAAGAAAATCATGCCCTAAAAGGGATTGAGAAGAAATGACAACTTGGTCCAGAAAGAAAATAGCTAAGATACCTCCTACGTTCAGCATGGCTGGGCTACCCACCTCTAGATTCTTTAGATGATATGCTTGGGATTGTCCTGCTTTCTGACAGGTCCTACAGTAAGTGCTGAGCAGAAAGGCTTTGCCCAGGACAAGGATGGTGCTGCTGGAAGAGTTTTTCAGTGGCACAGCTATGGCCCACTATAGAGCTTTGCTTCCTCGTAGAGAGGAATCCAAGAGCTCTGCTATCCTGCCTTCCCTTTTTCAGGTGCTGGAGGGGAGCCCATCTTGGATGGGAATTCAAACCCTTTCTCAAACCAGTTTTTCTAAGCAGATCTCATTTATGAAGAGTTCACTATTGTAGTCATAAGACACATGAAAGCATTACTAAGTGATGAATAGATGCTTGCTTTGCAGATGGCTGCAAACCACTTCGTTAGGAGTCTTGAACAAGTGCTTGTAACCGTGGCTTGTCAATTGTCTGGAAGTGACTAGCTAGATTCTTTATCCCTGCTAATATTTGCTTAACTGAAATGTCTGTTGCAGACCGGCCCTTAAGCATTCCATTTTTAAAATCATATTTAAGGATAGAGTGAAAAAATAAACTGTTTTCTGGGGGGAAGTGAAACTATTTGGTGAAGCTCCCTTTAGAATGATCCCTAAAGCCACTGCTGCCTCCTGTAGGAGATTCCCCCAGCAAAGCACTGTGCTTTCTAGGTGCTCATTATGTGGGTTAATCAAATTGTCCCCAAATCTGTGATGCAGAATTTCAGTGGATAACAGCAGGATGTGATGAGGTAACATGCTTCTGCCGCATACTCCTTTGCAGCAAACAACTCACTTAAGGAATCTGGCACCCACCTGGTCATGCTTTATTGCAAGACATCACGGATCATGATACTGATCCCACAGCTTATGCACGACACTCGGACTAGTCGTTAAACCTTCTAGGCAGCTTCCAACACCACCGTTTATAGCTTTTTTTTAATCAAAGGCTGGGAAATAAGCACAGTGCGCAGATCTGCTTTGTATATTGATTGGTACACGCGCATCCGTGGGCATGGAGCGAGCATTATGTCACAGCCTCCAAACACTACTGCTTCTCCAGATCGCGGACGGGCCACAGCATGGGACTTCTCTGAGTGGATCCTAGCCTGCGTGGGGGATCTGTGTGGAGCACGCTAGGCTTTTTTAATCTTCATAAGTATCAAATGAATATGAGGCTTTCCAAACTGTGAGTAAGGGTTTAAGGCTTGATGAGTATTTGTGCTTTATTCTGCTGAGAGTGTCAGTGTGCAGGATTAGTGTTATAAAGTGTTGGTGACTTCCCCTGATGAGATATTTTTGCATGCCTTCTCCTCCCTATGAACTTCAGAGCCAACTGCTGTGTAAATTGATTGGTTTTCTAATAGAAAACTAAATGCAATCTCTGATCTTTAATAAACTCCACTTAATCAGTGTATGTTGGTTCTATGCTACCTTGTAGCTGCTTGCTTGCATTGAAGAGAAAATATAATACTCCTCCTGAGCAATTTGTAGCCCAATTCTTGGCTCTTTGGTGATGGTAATTAGACATTTGAAATCGTGCAATGGTCTAGCTGTCTGCTGCTTTACTGTTTTTTCTAATTTTTCCTTCAACTATGTAAGTAAGAGAAGTGCATTTAAAACGTTGCTGAGTTTTGTGTAAAGAAACATATAAATGGACTGCCACAGCAAAACCGTCTCTATTCTTCTTGTAGATTCTGCCTCATGGTCAGCCCTGCAAGTGCCTGAGAGCTGGGAAGAGGGGGTGAACAAAGAGAAAGAGAGGGGTAAGTCATGCATTTGTTGTGGCACTCAGTGATGTTACTTACAAGCAGAGCAGATCCAGAATTTTATCAGGACTTTATGTAGTGATGAATGGGTTTTTCAGCTGAATGAAGTCCTCGACTTTCATTTTAAATCACAAAACTGAAAACTCAGTATCAGAATCCCTGTTGGAAAGCAGATTTTTTTTTTTTTTACCAGCTTGGGACAAAAAGTCCCAAAGAAAATATATTTTATTTTCCCATGACAAAAATTCAAATTTATGCTGAAAAGGAATATAACTCCTTTGTTCCTGTTTCCTATAAGGAAAACTAGCTTCTCACCAGTTTTCCTTAGGAGTAGGACAGTAGTGTATACAAGAATTGAAACACATTTCCATCAGTGTACTGCTAATACAAGCATCTGTTTCTATTTCTTGCACTTGAAATACTAGACAGTCTGCATTAGTCGATGTGATGTTTGGACGTACTTACTAGTTTAGACTTGAAGAGTTAGTATGTAGCCATGCTTTTCACTGTCTTTTTTTGGTCATTTCATAAATGTTAATTCTAGTGGAATGCTTTTTTTTATGCCGATACATTAACAGGCTTTGGTTGTGTTTCTGTTCACAGTAAACTGTGAATTTTATCATGAAAGTTGAAAGTTTGTCATTGATAAGGACGTTTTCCCAAACTGTTTTGATCTGAAGCACGTTTTGTGTGCTCATATCAGGTCTGTCCACATTGCTAGTTCTGTTTGGAGGTTGATCCAGAGCGCAGCGAACGTGAGCACTGTGAGTGTTTGGGGAATTTGAACCTGAATGGGAGCTCGAACCCTGAACTGCCATGGCAAGTGCCTGGGGACCAGTGTGTTACAGCAGAACTTAAATCCTTTCCTAGGTTCTTTAACAAATATGGGCCTTTATCAGGTGTTTGTGGCAGCAACTCTCCAGAGTGCTTGTTTGTACTTTGATTCAAAAAAAAAAAAAAGAAAAAAGGTTTTGAGGATCTCTAGGAATTTGTCTTTTCCTGAGAGAGCACCTTCCCACTGAGAACCCGTTTCTGTATCAGCAGCTGGGGTAGCCAGAAAAATCCACAGGCTGAAGGCTGCAGCTGGAAATGACAGTTCTCCAAAGCTTGCCAGCTGTGTGTGTGTGCTGGCCAGACTCCCCTGGGCTTCTGCAGCATTTCGTAGATGCCATGTTGTCCCTTTCAGAGTATAAATGCTCTCCTGCCCAAGCTAGTGTCAACACTCTTCCAGATTGCAGTGGTTTTATAGGGATGTTGGATACTTACCAAAATTTCTAAAAGGATAAGTTTTAAAGTTTTAAAAAGTCACTGTTTGAATATGTTCAGAGCTTATTCTAGCTGTTTGTGACACCGATACCTAATTGTCTGAGATGCGGCTTTTTCCTTGGTCTAGATGTAACCTCACTCCCTGGAATAACTACAAAGAGACTACGCAGCGCAATGCAATTTCAGAAACTATATTAATGTGATAGCCTCCCTCTGAGCTTGGTGGAGGCCAACGGACAAACCAGTGTTAGAGCGACCAGTCAGATGTTTTTCTGTACTATGTCCAGATAGGACTGAGCTGCAGAAGGCCATGGAGCAAAACAGCAGATTGGACAAGGAAATTCTGGCACTGCAAGCCCGGGTTCAAACACTCGACTTGGAAAGAAAAGCTTTCCTTGATCTGGTGAGTACCCACCTCCTCGTGACTTGCTCTCCTGGTCTGCAGTGGCACCAAGGGGCCCCTGCAAAACCAATAGTCCTGGGATGGTTCCTGACATTCAACCCTATTCTTTAATCTGCCCTGCCTCTTTTTTTTTTCCTCTCCCTCCTGCTGTTCATGCTCAAATTGAATATATGTGTTAGGGCTGGCAGGGTAGGGCCTCCAAATGCTTGTTTTCTGTGCCCAGCATGCTGGATCAGCCTGATGCTTTCTGTAACTAGCGAATGTCTGCACATAATTGAGAGGGTAGACGGAGTCAGCAATGAGATTGCCTATAGTGAATGATTCTAACAATTCTGTTTCTGTTCCTACCTCTCAAGTTCTTTGAATCAGTCCTTCAGCAGCCTATAAATGGTTGTCAGCAGGCTATAATTACTTATGCCATCCCAGCACAGATAGCTAAGGAGCTCTCTGCCAGTTCTCTTGGATTAAAATTGATATTTTAAAGTAAATATGAGAATAGCATGCCCATCTCCTGAAAAACTCCAAAAGAGTAGCAAAGATTTACTTTCTTGAGTGGAACTTACTCACATTTGAAGATGTGAAAATTTTAGTGTAGAGTTTTATTCCTTGACTTAAAAAAAAAAAAAAAAATCTCAAACCTCTAATTGGTAAAATGTGAGAGCATATGTTATTAAAAGCCACATGGGGTCATCCCATAATCTTATTTCTGTCTGAGTTATGGACAGCAGCGTGAGGAGCCAGCTGGCCAGTTGACCATGACTTGGTGGTCTCTGGGAGGATCCAAACTTGTCCTTGCCTTGTGCTCCACCAGTTTGAATATTGAGTCTCAGTGTGCAGGATTTTGTGTCTGTGTGCCCTAAAAGGTCCTTCAGAGTGAGTCCATGTGAAGAGGTTCGGTAGGTGCCTGTGAGTGTGGATGGAGATACAATTGACAGAAAGCAACAGGCCAAAGAGAGGAAAAGTGCATGCTGAGAAGGTGGTGTGTGGCAGTTTCCCAAGGACTGATAGCTCCAGAGACTAGCAGTGCTGTTGAATCTGCAAAACCTGATAAACTCAGGACATGAAAGATCTGCTGAATCTGTAAAAGGCCACGGGCACAGCCTGGGATCAGTCGTGGCTTGTGAGGCTTGGACCACATCCAAGAAGGCGACTGCTGCTGTACACATTGAAGACTACAGGATTATATCTCCATCTGATGAAATAAATACTCCCTGAGGGACTTTGTGAACACCTTCCCAGAAGCCACTGGTGCACCAGTATGACACTGCGCTTCTGAGTAAATAGCTGGGGTTGGCCTCCGAGCTATTGCTGCAACCGAGTAACTGAATGAGTGTGTGACTGCGTAAGTGGCTGTGTTGTGTTGATAGTCACCTTCTATTAATAACAAGAATAAAGATGTTCTAAGAAATAGTGGTTGTGGTCTGTCTCCCCCTCTGCACTCGCTCTCGCTTTTTAGGGAAAAAAGGGATGTGCAACATGTAAATGATCAATAACTGAAATAAAGAAAAATTGCCTACCCTTTGCAGTGTGGCATTCCCCCTCCTATTGCTCTTTACCTCTCTAAATAGTCTGAGGCCACACGCCTGTAGCAGCCATGTGATCTCTTCAGCTTGAGTAGTTAATATTAATAAATCTGCAGTTTATCTATGGCAAATTTGATGAGAACCTTAATTCTCTAAGACAGCAAGATGAACATCTGCCAAAAGTACAAGGAACTGTTTTTATTTCAAAGGTTGAACAGCTCAAAGAGGAGATTTGCGAGTATCAAAAGAGCGAGAAACAAGGACTTCCATTCCCCACACCAAATGAGACTGAAGAAGTTGTAGCATGTTCACTGCAGGTATTTTCAAGGGCCTTTTGTTTGCCGTTCTAGAAAGCGAATTGAGCAGAGAGTCCCCGTTCTGCATTTCAGTCCCATGGCATAGATGAAGAGGCAAAGCTTACAGTGCAGAAGTACTAATATTTTCCTTTGTACCTATATGGAAGTGCACCCTGTGCAACTGGGATGTAGGATTCATTCTGGGCTTGAAGAATGCACTAATGTGCAGCACATGTGTTGGTGTGAGCTAATTACCCGTTAATGCCTTCATAATTCTCATGGGGCTTGGAAGGCTTTGCACCTGTGGGCAGTGGATTATCTAATGTAGATAGATGTAGCTGGCGTAGCTCGTGTTTTCTGATTGTCCCATGAATTTATGAGACTTAGGTAGCTCTGGAATCACCTTGTCCTAAGATTTCCGTCTCAACTGTGTGCTAACTTTTCGTTTTCTCTTTAGACGCAGGGCACAAAGGAAGAAGGGAGGGTTGAAGGAGACTGTGTTCCAGGCCACGCTGGCTTGGATAAACTTGGCAGATATCAGGATAGTGAAATACTTCATAAAAGGTGACTGATATAAAAATCCTTCTTCATCTGTTGTCTTTTCATAGTAATTTATCTGGCTCTCTGAGCATCGCTATTCTGTCCTGCAGAATGCGTTTAAGTGTTGGCTTTGTTCCTTTGCTCCCAAATCAGAACGTTTGGAGCTGATGAAGTCTTCCGTGGGTATTTATCCCTTGGGATCAAGAATGCAGGCTTTCTTGCAGCATGTTTTCTGGCACTTTCTCCAGTTTGTTTGTCTAAAAGAGTAGGTGTGGGGCTTTTGTGGCTCCCTGCAGATGAAAGCATTGTTTTCCAACTTGTCTTGCCACTGGGAGAATTTCTTCTGAGTTCGGTTGCTGTCCAGAGGTGTACCAAGACGCTTTGTTTTCAAACTTAAAACATCTAAACTGGGATTTTAAGGGAAACCAAGCTTCATCCTCCTGTGGCCTGTTCAGAGAGCAGCTGCTGCTGAGCTTCTTCTAGCAGACCCAGAGAAGAAAGGGGATCTGATCCCATCCTGCAGTTTCTTTTCCCCTTCCAGTGCAGGGGGGAAAAAGGACAGCGCAAGCCTGCTCCCCCACCTCAGACAGTTCACTTTGCCATTGCCTCTCTGCTATTAGCATCCTCCTGCCTGACAGTTGTCTTCTCAAAGCCCCATCGTTGCTCATGCAGACCCTATCACCAGTAATTCCCACCCCCTGCCACCTAAATAAGAGCAGGGACATGTTGCGTGCAGGGTTTGAAACCGGCAGAACAGATGTGATCCCTTCCTTATGGCACACTGGGAAGTACATTGGCTCTTCTTCATCCAGGAGCTTTTCCAGTGGTGAGAGATTTGGATGTGTATTGATGTGTTCACTTATCAATTCTAGCCTTGGTGATGTGTTGTCGGTCTTTGCATAGGTGCCAAGAGGTGATTGAAAACATTGAGGGCAGGAATTCGCAGCTCCTTCACAAGCTGCAGAAACTGGAGCAGGAGCATGAGGATTTGGTTGAGCGCAATGAAGAGCTGGAATCTATTCTAGGAGAGACACAGATCCAAACCAAGCAGGAGAAGGAGCAGTTTGAGAGTGAGGTGGAGGGACTTCACCGGAAAGTAAGTAAGAAATGGAAGAAATACTGTTTGGTTTTGTTTAATTCTAGCTACTTTTCTGTCCACTTATTGACTGGTAAAATAAAATGGCATTTGGCCTAAAGCTGCATGCTGCTTTGTTTAGTTTGATTAGAAATACAACTAGCAAAATCTGCCAGTTTCAGAGAAGAGGGGGAAAAGGAGTAAAAAGTTCAGAGGTCTGTAAATGGCACTTGCTTGGAAATACAGGTCCCTGCAAGATTGCAGCTGCATTGTCTTTTCCAACTTTTGTGTTCACCCTTGCGCGCTTGGGCAAGTGCTGTTAACTAGCTTACTCCTGCGTCTACAAGAGTGAGATCAGGCAACGCTCCCTTCACGTACAGCCTTTCTGTAAGCATGGGCCGCACACCCTTCAGTCTCTTGGCTGAGCTGAAGCAAAGCCTCTGTGGTTCATATTTGAATTGCACCATTTTTCTCTGGAGCGATTTCTTCTGAGCTTCTTGCAGCTTGCCAGGCTTGGAAGCTCTTATTTCACCTCGGAGGCTGTCCTGGATAGCATCAGCACTCCTGACGGACTTCACCATCAGTCTCCTGCAAGTACTGCTTTACCACCTTGGGCAATTGTTTCTGCTACCTACGCTGACTGTGGAAGAGCAACTCCCAGGGAAGCCATGAGTTTACTTGGGGCTCAGAGCAGAGGCACAGTTGCCTGCCAGAGGTTTTCCTGAAGCCCTTGAATTCTACCTCGACTCTGGCAGCCCTGGCAGAAGGCCAGGCCTTGATTTCAATCCCTAGTCTCTCTCCAGATGAGTCCTACAGATGAAAACGGTCACTGTGGGACAAGGGTGCCCTTTGATCTCAGGAAAGATATCTATTTAAGTGCCCTGGTGACAAAAATTTGCACTTTTCATTTCCCCCGACACAGCATCTCAGGGACCTGCCAGCCCATTGTGACAAACAGCGAGGCAGTTCGGGGCGCAGAAGGGTCAGGATCTGCGCTGCCTGTGGACAGCCCTGCCTGAAAATACCAAATTTGAGGGAAAGTTTTTCTTCTCCCCACCTGTTGTCTCTTGCTGCAGCAGCTACTGTTGAATGGGACAGGCATGGCTGGATACTGCTTTTTGAGGAGCTATGATATGCTGATCTATCTGGAGAAGCTCTGCTCAGTCTTGATCAAGAAGTGATTTTACTGGTCTCTTCCTAAACTGTCTCCCAACTCTGTCTTGGGCACCCTCAACCCAGGGCAAACTAGATCTTTTTCTGTTGATAGGACAGGCCATTCAGGGGATCCTTTGGCTTTCAGAGGTTGACGGAAAGTTTTGGTTATTTCCGCAGGTTCCCTCATTCACATGCGACCATCAGGAAACCTCTGGGAAACTGCAGAGGTGAAACACCGTGTTGCTTGGTTCAGGTTCACCAGAGCCCTGGGAACATTAGAGGCCTCCTTGCAAGACTTGCAGATCCATCTCCTTTCACACTTTCAGTGAGGATTAAGCTGTTGTTGAAGCTTCTCAGCCTAATGCTGCCTTTGTCAGAGTGGTCTTTTTTCTTTATTTGATTAGGGACTCTCCATTCCTCTGGAAGTAGCCTTGTGAGGAGCACCTTATCATCTTATCTATACAGGAATGTAGGTGTAGTCAAGCACCTGACAGAGGTTAGGTACTATTTGCTGCTTACTGACTGGTTGATGACTGCCTGCCCGCAGGGAGATAACCGTCTGCAGCATTTGTGGAGCATCACTACCAGGGCATTTGGTCCCTTACAGACAGGCAGGACAGCTGAAGAGTACTAGGACATGTCCTTTCCCCTTCCAACTCCTAGCCAGAGAGGACAGAGGAAACCAGCAACTGATCTTGCTAGATGGGTTTCTCCCCAAAAGGCTGGCTGCAAAGATCTTTACCTTTGGCTGAGCGAAGGCTCTGCTGCCTGGCCAAGAGTTTTTCCTCCCCTGGGCTGAGCTGCCCTATCCCTTCTGTCTGTGACTAAGAGATGCTCTCTGGAGTTATCATGGTCTTGGGCTGCCAGGCAGCAGGACCAGCCTGTAGCATTTCTGGAGGGCCTTGGAATTCTGAGGCAAGAAGGAAGGACACACACAGAGGTTTTCAACCAGGAGTGAATGGTGCTTGGATGTGTCCATACGTTTGCTGTTGGGTCAAAACACGTAGGAAGATGGTACATGTGTGAGGGCATATCCTTTGTGAAAGCTGGAACAGCCACACATGTCCAAGATAAATTGTTAAAGGAATTCACCTTTTCTTCCTTTGAAGTGGCCTCTGGTTCTGAGGGGAAGTCTCCAGTGATGGTGAGACGTGATAAAATAGCTTCTGAAGGACCAGGATCCAGAAGATGTTGTGTTTCTAGCGTCTGGCTGAGGAGCCAAAAGCAGGCTCTGACCGTGATGAGAATGGCTTGAGGTCTGTCCACCGTGACTGTGCTTTTATTTAAACCAAAGTTTTGTTCAGCCCCACATGAAAATGTTTTCCTTTTTCTCACTGAAATAGAGAGGAGAAAACCATTCCTCTCCAAATGAAACAAAAAGCATTTTCAGTTGGAGAAGTCCTTTCTGTGCTCGGTCCGTTATTAAACAGATCCATGGGAACACTGCTGTGGGGAATGCAGGGCGAATGCAGCAGGGAGCACCAAGTAACCAAGGAGACACAAGGTGTTTTGGCTGGCATGTGCTTGGCAGCCACTGAAGCTGTATTTTACCGGGCACAGAAAAGCGGCGTGCAGGATAGCAGAAGAGAGGCAGTCAGGCAGGCCGGGGGGAAGAGGAGGAGGTGGATTCAAACTCATCAGGATCCAGTGTCTGCTCAGATGGAGGGCTGCAGAGCTGCAACCTTCATCTCTGAGTGGCTTTTAGGTGCCTTGGATATAACAGGGGAAGAGCCGCATGAAGGCAGGTACATTGGAGCCCTGAGAAAGCAGCTCTCCTGGGTGTTTGCCAGGCTGCCCTATGTGAGGAGGTCTTGGAAGTCTGCTGTTTTGGCATGCCTATGCAAATCCTGACCCATTAGGCCACTGACACCAAACGAGGACACTAGGGTACAATGAGAGTATTGTTCTGTCATTGGGTGAGACTTACCTGCCGAATTTAAATGCTTATAAGGTAGTGGCTCGGAGGAAAAAAGAGCAAAATGATGGAATGGCATAGCTGGGCATCAACTTCCTGACCAAAGGTTCTTTTTTGTCGGGGCTGAGTTATTTTGCTCTTGAGATTCCTTCCAACAGCTTCAAAGTCTTTTCGAACCTCCAAACTATCATTCGATCATGTAGGAGGAAGGAGTGTCCAGCTCTTCTGTAAGAGGCCTGGGTGCTTCACCCCACCAAAACAATCCTTGCCCTTATGCTAAAGGCTCAGAAAACACGTAGGAAGCTTGTGACTCTGAGGGGCCTGAAATGATTTTCTTTTAATACTTGTCTTGGTGACAGTATCCGTCATAGAAAACTGTATCATATCGACTTCCCTCCAGGTTAGAGATTGTTCACTTCTAGGAACTTCAGCAGAATCATCTTGTGTCTGAAGCCTGTCAGTGAAAGCAAAGCTCCCCCTTTTGGGCTTTGACGCCTCTTTAGTAGTCACTTAAAGCAGACTGGGATTTTCAGAGACTTAGCAATTCTTGTGGACTCCCATCAGAGAGGAATGAAAAATGATCTCTGAATACGTGCAAAGAAAGGAGAGTGAAAAAGACAGAAGGCATCTGAGTACACAGTGGAGCAAATGGATGTTGTTTTGGGCAGAGCTGGGTTGTTAGTGCCAAGACCTGGATTTTTTCAAAAGGGTCTGTAGGAACAGTAGTCAGGATGGGAAACCAGAGTGTTTTGAGCTCCTTTAAGCCTTTTAAAACTCCAGGACTAATAATTATCTCCACAAGATGCCCAACCCTGGACAACAACTCAGCTGGAGGGGTAAAATCAGAGTTCAGCAAAGCACTGAATTCTGCTTTTTAATCTCTTGACATGGGGAATATGCAGAGCCCTCAGCTAAACAACTCACGTCAGCCAAGCAAAGTACAGAGGCCAATGCTGTGCTGGACTGAGTCCAGAGCACTTAGAGCCTTGCAGGAGGGAGTTGCGGCCTCCTCTGGGCATTGGAGGGACTCGGACAAGCCTGTGGACCGCTTCCAACATCTGCTTGGATGAGCTCAGCCGTGGGGGTGTGGACACGACTGCCTGAGCATTGTGAGAGTGTGGGAAAGGCGAATGGCCCATGTTATAAATCAGGGATGCCTCTGTACAATAAGAACAGAGGGGCTGATGGGGTCCTCAGCTGCACCTCTTGGGAGAGCAGCATGTAGAAGGCCTATAAGTTATTTTGCTCTTGAGATCCCTTCCAACAGCTTGAAAGACTTTTTGAACCCCCAAACTGTGATTCAGTCACACAGGAGGAACGGGTCTTTGAATTTTAACTATGCGTCACGATTAATTTTCTAAGTCCTTCCAGAGTTCCTTTTGTGGAGCTGGGTTCCTTCATTTTCCTACTTGGTCTTGAACTTGTTTACCCTTTGAAGCTGCAGGATGAAAGATCTGAGCAGCAGCTAGCCTGCACTGGCAGCTGTCCACATTCCCTCCTACTCCTCACTTCCAAACGTGGGGCTTATTCTGTAATAGCTACTCAAAGAGCAAATTTAGTAGTAGTTGTACATACTGATTTGGTTTTAACTTGTGGTTTATGTATGTTAAGATCACAAGTTTAGAGATGGAGTTACTTGAAGTGCAGAAGAACAAAACTGGGATGAGTGGGGAAGAGCAAGCATCAACTGATGGAGCACAAGAAATGCAAGAGGTAAGAGGATTTCCTTGGGCAATAAATAATTTGTTTAGAAATGGAAAAAAGAGCACTTCCTGTAAATGCTCTTTCTCACCTTCTTCCGAGAGTTTGTAGCCCATCAGCTCATGCGCGACAGATGGATATTCTTATCTGCAGGAAAGCAACTAACATGCAAATATGATCTCTGTAATAACTCTGTCTGTAAATTCTCTCTCGCAAAACTGTCTTGCCTTCAACAGTGCAAGCCAAGGAGCATGTTGACCCTCTTGTGAGGGTGAAGGGTTTACATGTGTAGAGGATTAAATTTACCCCTCAAGAAGGGAATATAAAGACCAGAAGTTCTGCTTGTCTCTTGTTCAGAAAGTTTAGTGAAATGTACATAGCGTGTAGGTATGTTTGCTGCAAGGCTGATTACCAACTGTTTTTGGGCTGGCTTTGCTATCCATTTGTCACTTGTCAGCCGGACAGCTGGATCTACTGGATTTCTTTTGTGGGAGAAGACAGACCTTATGGCTTGTGAGAGAAAACTTGCCCATGTATCTTGAGTCAGGTGAAGGCTCTGGGCCTTCAGATGTGCCCAACCAGCCCTGGGTATAAGGTGCATGAATCCCATTGGCAACTCTTGTGTAGCATTTTTCCCAGAAAATACCTGTTGTCTATGTTTTCTTCCTGTTTTACTAGCATAAGTGATACTGTAGAAGTGACTCTTCATCTTGCTTGTTCCAGATGCTGGAAAGCTGTCAGGAAACGATAGAAAAGTTGGGAAGTCAGCTGGGAGAGCGGAGAGAACGGAGAAAGCAACTTGCATCTGAACTGGAACTGTTACGAGAAGATCTAAAGGCCGAAAAGAAGGTCAGACGTGTATCAGAGGTAGAGTGATGCTGTTCTTCCCCAAAGAATGTCCTGTGTTTTCCTAGTTTGGGAAGTAGGAATTTTTCTTACGGTGCTGCTCTTCCAGGAGGGCCTGTGTATAGTTGCTACAGTGGGATTCTCTTTAGGAGGCAATTGCCTGTATGACTGCATGAAACATCCCCAGTTGCCCACAAAGGGCAGCTCTCTAGTCCAGCCATTTTCAAAGGCTCTTTGGCAGATGGTTCTAAATCTAACTGCTTTGGTGAAGTTAGAAACAGTTCCATTATTTATTTTTCCTTTCAATTAATCAAATAACAAAACAATAAACCAAACTTTGTAGGCAAAACCTGCTTCTCTACAGGGCATAGTGGAAGCTTTCAAACTAAATATTTATTGCATAGTTATTTGTAACTACAAGGGGCACGATTCATTGATTTGTATATTTTTTCCCGATCCCATAATCCTTAGAAAAGCAAGCTGAAATAAGTTTGTACTTCAGAAAAGCTAGCATTAGCCTGGTTATTGGAAGGAGCTGGTTTTGAAGAATTTCTGCTCCTGTTGCTGAACGCTTGTTGATACAAACGAGTTAGTGAATTTCTTCCTGGATGTGTGACCTTGCGTCTGGGTGCCTTACAGTGCGGGCTGAGTGAGGAGCTGGGTGCAATCAGATGAGCCTTCATCTCCCCTGCCGTGTTGTGACACAGATACTTGGGAGATTCAAGCAAAGAGCTCCCTGTAGAGCAGTTTCACAATTATCCATTACAATGATTGCTTTTCTGATGTAGATCAACTGGCTAATTCTGAATCTGTTTAGCATAAATGCTCTTTAATTTTAATAGTCTTTCCTAACCAGATTATGATGTGATATGAAGTCAAACACCTAAGTGAGAGAAGTCTACATGAACGGCTTGCTGAGGATCTTGGTGCTGCTTTTCACTGCCTGCCTTAAAGGACTTCAGTCCACTTTGCCTGAAGCAATGTAACTGCTAGATAAAGTTTGGCAGGTTTATCTCTGTTAGGAGAGTTGTTGCTGCTACAGTCTTCCAGTCAAACCCCAGAGAGCAAGCAGTGTGGGATGCCAGCAAAATTGCATGAGGAACGGCACAGGCATAGGTAGAGCAAGTGCCTGCCTAGGCTGAAAACCGCAGATATGCTGCCTGGATCAGACAGTCTAGGGGGACCTGAAGGTGACTGGTGAAAAGAGGGTTGCATCTATTAAAAAAAAAAAAATCCCACTCTGAGAGGCCTTAAACTAGCGGTGAGTCACATCACTTCTGTGAATGTAAGCGAATCCGATAACAGTCCTGGTCTTTTGGCACAACTGCACATATGCCAGGGTCTTGCTGGAGAAACAGCGTCATCTAGAGGACAGGACTTTTTAGTGCTGTTAGACAACAAATTCACATCGCAAAAGCTCAGGACACAGGCCTGGTCCTAGCCTAGGAAGTGGCTAGATTTATCTCTAAATACTTATGTGAAAATAAATTGTCTGATTTTGTGGTGATGGGAAGAGCAGAAGGAATCTCTCTAACTTTTGCTTCCCAATAGTTCAGTCTACTTGTAGTCCAGGGATCTTTTAATCCAAATCATACATCTGTGTAAGACTGGTTATAATTCTGCCACCAGCAACTTGCCAGTGGTTTTGCTTAAGCTGCAGAAAGCTCTTTTTCCATCAGAAGGATCACGAGATGAAATCCAGCAGCCTATGTTAGACTGGACAGCTGTAATGGTCTTTAAAATAGAGGACTTTGCCTGTATTTGGTAGGACTCCTGAGCTGACAGTTCAGTTCCTTTCCTCTTCACAGAATCACAGAATGGTTGAGGTTGGAAGGGACCTCTGGAGATCATCTAGTCCAACCCCCCTGCTCAAGCAGGGTCCTCTAGAGCATATTTCCCAGGATCACATCCAGACGGGTTTTGAATATCTCCAGAGAAGGAGACTCCACTACCTCTCTGGGCAACCTGTTCCAGTGCTCTGTCACCCTCACAGTCAAGAAGTTTTTTCTCAGGTTCAGATGGAACTTTGCATGTTTCAGTTTATGCTCGTTGCCTCTTGTCCTGTCAGAGGCCCTTGTCCTGACGAAGAGTCTGGCCCCATTCTCTCAACACCCCCCCCCTTCAGATACTTGTACACATTGATGAGATCGCCTCTCAGTCTTCTCTTCTCCAGGCTGAACAGGCCCAACTCGCTCAGCCTTTCTTCCTAGGAGAGGTGTTTCAGTCCCCTAATCGTCTTTGTAGCCCTCCGCTGGACTCTCTCCAGTAGTGCCATGTCTCTCTTGTCCTGGGGAGCCCAGAAGTGGACACAGTACTCCAGATGTGGCCTCCCCAGGGCTGAGGAGAGGGCCAGGATCACCTCCCTCGACCTGCTGGCAACACTCTTCCTCATGCACCCCAGGATCCCACTGGCCTTCTTGGCCACAAGGGCACATTGCTGGCTCATGGTTAACTTGTTGTCCACCAGCACTCCCAGGTGAGGTTCCTCTCGGCCCAGCTCTCCAGCCTGTCCAGGTCCCTCTGAATGGCAGCACAGTCTTCTGGTGTGTTAGCCTCTCCTCCCAGTTTAGTGTCATCAGCAAACTTGCTGAGGGTGCACTCTGTCCCTTCCTCCAGGTCAATGAGGAATACATTGAACAAGACTGGGCCCAGGACTGACCCCTGCGGGACACCACTAGCTACAGGCCTCCAGCTAGACTCTGCACCACTGACCACAACCCTCTGAGCTCGGCCATCCAGCCAGTTCTCAATCCACCTCACTGTCTGCTCATCTAGCCCACACTTCCTGAGTTTACCTAGGAGGATGTGATGGGAGACAGTGTCAAAAGCCTTGCTGAAGTCCAGGTAGACAACAGCCGCTGCTCTCCCCTCATCTACCCAGCCAGTCATTCCGTCATAGAAGGCTATCAGATTGGTCAAGCATGATTTCCCTTTGGTGAATCCATGCTGACTACTCCTGATCACCTTCTTGTCCTCCAGATGCTTAGTGATGACCTCCAGGAGGAGCTGTTCCATCCCCTTTCCCGGGATGGAGGGGAGGCTGACAGGCCTGGAGTTTCCTGGCTCCTCCTTCTTGCCCTTTTTGAAGACTGGCGTGACATTGGCTTCCTTCCAGCTCTTCAGAAGAGCTTTCTCCACTCAGATGTTCCAGAAATCTCTCAGAAACAAGAATAAAGTTCCAGTAACTGCAAAGAGCTCTTTGAATAATATCAGTTCATGGCACAACACATCACATACATTATTATTATTATAATTTACAAGAAAGAAAATACTGCCCAATTTACTGGCCTATAATATGTTTTGGGCATCCCAATGAACACAACATTGAACAACCTCTAATTTTGACCACCAGGTATCATGACAGCCCAACGATTTCGTGCCAGGCTAAACTCCAACACTCTGTTGGTAAATTATTTACCCCAATACAGCTGCTCTAGGAAGCAATGTACACCAATGCATGCAGCATGGGGAATAAGCAGGAAGAATTAGAGATCTGTGTGCAGCCGCAGGGCCATGATCTCATTGCAGTTAGAGAGACATAGTGGGATAGCTCACATGACTGCAATGCTGTCATGGACGGCTCTGTGCTTTTTAGGCAAGACAGGCCAGGAAGGCGAGGTGCTGGAGTTGTTCTTTATGTGAGGGAGCAACTAGAATGTATGGAGCTCTGCCTCGGGATGGATGAAGAGCAAGTTGAGAGCCTATGGGTAAGGATTAAAGGGCAGGCTAACATGGGTGACACTGTTGTGGGGGTTTACTACAGGCCACGTGATCAGGAAGAGGAAGTCGTCAATGAGGCCTTCTACCGACAGCTGGAAGTAGCCTCACGCTCACAGGCCCTGGTTCTCATGGGGGACTTCAACCCCCCCGACCTGTGCTTGAAGGAGAGCACAGCTAGGCACAACCAGTCGAGGAGGTTCCTACAGAGCATTGAAGATAACTTTCTGACACAGGTGTTGGAGGAGCCAACAAGGAGAGGCATACTACTGGACCTTGTACTAACAAACAAAGAAGGTCTAGTTGGAGATGTGAAGGCTGGGGGCCGCCTTGGCTGCAGTGACCATGAGATGGTGGAGTTCAGGATCCTGCCAGGAAGATGCAGGGCAATAAGCAGGATCGCAACCCTGGACTTCAGACAAGCAGATTTTGACCTCTTCATGGACCTGCTTGAAGAATCCCATGCAATAGGGCCCTCAAAGGAAGAGAAGTCCAAGAAAGCTGATTGATATTCAAGGATCACCTCCTCCAAGCTCAAGAACCATCCATCCCAATGAGAAAGAAGTCAAGCAAAGGGGGCAGGACACCTGCATGGATGAACAAGGAGCTCCTGGCAAA